TGAAGATGCAGGTGATCAAACGACACAGGCTCTTTAGAGCCTCTAGTTTTATATTTATTACGAATTTATGAATCTATCACGTATTATCGACAAATAATATTTCATTCAGTGATTGTTGATGGCAAGCTGATTAATTATCGAGTTTGTTGCCGAAGTTTACCGGATAGTGATATCATCGATAAACAATCAACACAGAGCAAATGGAGCACGTGACAAATGCGTGAATTAAAGGGAAACTCCGCAAAAAAATGAAAAATTGATATTTTGTTCTTAAAGCATAAAAAACCACATGTTAATAAATAAAAAACTTTTATTCTCTATGTAAAGAGATCAAAATCGATTTTTGAAATTCACTATCAGTTCTCGACATATCGCCATCTTGTCGGCATGTTCGATCTAAAAAGTCACGTGATATCTATAAACCACAAAGAACAAAAAGAATCGGGGATTTACCGACCGTGCGTTAAAAACTCCCATCATCAATTGGGGATTACCGTAGACAGTTATTCAGTGTCAAAATGTCTTGTCAAGCGTACGGTTGTTCTGTCAGACAAGGTTATGACAAAAGTCTACATAGTTTTCCCAATCCCACAAAAAAAGAAAGAATTGTATCAGACGTGGTTGTACAACCTTAAACAAACAGCAAATAGTTGCATCTATAGCAAGCACAAGTTTGTGTGTGAAGACCATTTTGAACAATATTATTTCGAGGGGATTCGATGGTAATTATCCTTTTTTAATAACAAAATAACCTAGCAGTTCTGATAGCTATAGTTATCAAATCCTTATATGATAAGATCTCGTTGAATAAAAAAAATATAGATTTGATGAGAAAGAACAGTTTCACTTATAAGAAAGACAAATGCAGTGTTCTTGTAACAATCACTGATTTACAGAAGATTCATTAGTATGCCTCTTTTATATAAAGTGCATTGATTTGTATTAAGAATAGTTCCGTATTTAGACAAGATAATTTTTCAATTAATAAAGTTATACGATATAAAATAACATTTTTTTAATTATGATATTTAACGGCTATTGACAAGGAGCAATGTTAGGAAGAGGTTTTAGCTGGGACATAATATGTTGATATAGTATAATATTCCCAGGTTATAGATGTTGAAATATCGAAATATCGGACATCTCAATTTTTTTATTAAAAGTGGGTTTTTTTTAACTAATCTTTAAATTATATCAAATTGATACGTACGGGATCAATTCGGAACGGTCACTTATAAAGACACTTAGCTTTACAGTTAAATGTGTGACTCTATCTGGTATGTTCGGTGAAAAAATTATAGGTTTTTTTTCTTTTTAAATTTTATTTACGTTATCTTATTATATATATATATATAATATATATATTTTAGCTTCCTCCCGAATTGATAATACGTATGTCAGAATCATTGATAGATGTCGTGTCAGAGCGACACATTCAGTTAGGTATTCCAAGGACGTATATTAGATACACGTCCCTGGGTATTCCAGTGACATCCTATCAACTAAAAATTCGTATTACACAATTATATAATACAGGTTCATGCATGGCCTCTTAATTGAGGTACCCGGTGTGCACAGGTAACATTTATTGAACCATATATTTGTGTATAACGTTGTTTATCTTGTGTGTTTTTGAAATTATAATTCCACCTTTTAATGAATGATGTTCTGGTAATAATATTATCCACTATTTTTGCTGATAATAAGTTTAAAAAAAAATATAAATATGACCTTTGAACATTTTTGTGAAATGAATATTGTTTTGTCATGATTCTGGACCATATTTTTGAAAAAAAATTCTTCACGCAAATACAAGCTTTTGTCGATTGGCAAACATGCAGATATATAAAGTAATGCAGCACTTAGTCACTATCAATATTAATTCATTGAAGATAAGAGAACCCTTCTCTATCTAATGTCCCAATCTTTATAAGGATTAGGACGACAGGGGAAAAGGGAGCGGAGATAGAGTGGCATAATGAAAAAAAAATAACCGAATAGAGAACAATATAGAGAATGATCGACGAAAAGCGAAATAGTTATTGTTAAGGAGCGGAGATAATTTAAGAGAGGCATAGTGAAAAAAAATGTTTGCTTGAGAAAGTTATTGCTTGCTTTGATATTTTTAGTTATACAAAATCACACATCGTGTTACTAATTGGTATTCACGTGCACTAACTTGATGCTGGGAACAGTATACAATGGTATATTAATATATATGTTCCTGCTTGATGTTTTGAGTTTCTGCATAGCATGGTTAAAAATAATTAGTATCCCATTTGTTGTATCGTAGTGTCACGGTGTTACTTTGTTAAATTTATTTAGTTTGTTAATGATTGTGTAAATAAGAATAAATCTGTATAAAAACTTCATACCATTTTAGTGATTGCCTATAGGCGTTTGATTATTGTTACATTTAAGATATATATATATATATTTAGAACCTTTCATACATCTTAAAGTAAAAGATGTGTGTCCGAGTTAAACGACACAAGAACCCTGTAATACTAGTACGAGAGTATAGCATGTAAAAATTCCTACTCAATATGGTTGTATTGGAAATCTTTTCATACAGATTGACAACTCATGGTCCGACATGCATGTAATATTTGCCAAATGACGCTCATAGTTCTTTCTACCATCATCATCTTATTCATTAAATATTACTGTAAACATCGATGGTTCACACCCAAACAAAATGGGAGTAATATACCTTCAGATCTTCTCCGTGGTATACACTTGTGAATTATATAAACGAAATTCGGTATTGAAGTGAATCTTCATCTCACAAACACAATTTTTGAATTACGATTTTGAGTGAACACCCACCAAACCAATACAAACGTATGGCAAGATATAACCATGCAGGCATTTAGTTTTCGTCAGACACAAGATAAATAATCACCCTCATAAACGTATATATGCATGCAGTTTCAAATATGAAGAACAAGCGGTCGATGTCTATAGATCATTATTAAGTCGGTTAACTAACTGTTCAGAGTCAGACATGTCAAAAGTTCATTCTTGGAACCTTCATATACCCCATCCGACAATGGGAACTCTTTCTGATAGTGTTGACAACATAAGCTTGTTTATCTGTACAAGTGGTTGCGTGGCCTCTCCTGCCCCAACAAACAAATACGCTACTAGTCTGCTATCTCTGGAGTTCATCCTCAATGGCGCTTATACGTCAGGAAACTTACAAGTATACTAGTGAAGATTGTTTCAAGAACAACGAGGTTGGGACGAACTGTTCTAAAATCGTCAATATCAGTAATATATTACAAAGATATGCCTTTAATTACAACAACTGTATTACTGATTTGGATTAATGACGGCTATCCTAAAAAAAAATCCTCAAACAAATTAATGTATTAGCTTAGATTTATAATGTATGTATATTCATTAATGAAATAAACGATAATTGGTATTCTTTTCACAAATAATTTGTCTAAGTGATTGTCAAATGAATTTAATTATTTAAGAATGAAATGTTAGTAAGAAAATTAAAAAAAATCATGCATGTTGTACTGTTGTATTTTTGCAGTTAAAAACTTTAAAATTGTGATAGTTTTACGATTGTTAGCATTTAAACATCGCCAGATTTTAATACAAGTTGAAGAATTCCGGTAAAGTAAATTAAACAGATGTGCAATGATTATTAATTGGGAAATGTAACATTTAATTTTTAAGATTAAAAGTACTATTCTTTTAACTTCATATCTTAACTTTATGCTAATTGCATAGAACGTAACCGAAAATTGTTCCATTTTAATATTGTAACACTTCCGGAATTAAAAAGTTGAATGTTAATTTTCAATTAATTTATATAATTTAATTATTGTTTCTCTATTGTCATCGGGTATTTCATCTGGGTATATTAAACACGCTATACTCTTTCTGTTAATCCATTCAAAATGACAATATTCACACCTGTGTACGTTTGAATTCACACCTGTGTACGCCTGAGGCTAAATTGCTGCAAGGTAAAGTTCAAACGAATTCTCATCAAATCGAGAAATAAACAATGACTGTACAAAATAATATACACACTCTGTTCACAAATATTTTGCATTGAAATGGTTATCAAAGTTATAACGGTAAATAAAACTTAAAATATTTTCAGTTCAATATCAGTAAAAATGTTCTATAAGATATTTTATGAAAAAATCTCAATAATTTATGAAATTAATTCGAAAATATTTATATTTAGATAACTTCATATAGGAAGTTTTATTCAATCAATACAAAACGGTACACACATATTCATTTTCTTTCATTCTTATATTGTGGTTATTAACTACGACCAACGGTCATCTGTGCGCTTTTAATTACGTAAAATTCTGATAAGCAATTAAGACTTTAACAGATTTTATTTTTTCCCATGATTCAACAAATCGGGTTAAAACGTCACAACCCAGTGACGTAGGTCAACCAAAAAAGTTACAAATACTTGATTTTTTCCGTTATTAGAAAGAATTTAAATTTAAAACTTTGTGAATGTGTTTTTTATGTTAAGATGAACATATTTAAATGATAAGTAAAAAATCGCGGACTTTCCCTTTAATAGAGCCATGATATCTTTTTTTTATATTTTCAATGCGTTTCCATTTGTTAACTTTCCCTTGACAGTTGTTAATTCTTTCATCATGTTTTTCCCCTCGCACTTGCGGTGTGCAGAGGTCTCGTAGTTAAGGTCACTGCATACGGGAAAATATCGGCGAATCAGTGTACGGGAAGACAATAATTCAATAACAGTTCATATATGAAGATTTTGATAATACAAAGAATTTCTTTTACAGCAGAGTTCACGTACATTTGTTTTATAGTAAAACTTAGTCATTCAAGTATATAAAACATATTCAACTTTTTTTTTTTTATTTTGAAGTTTCATATGAATTTAGTTTTGTATTTTGCAGAATGTTTATACCTAAATTCGTTACAAATAGATGAAACTAAAATGTGTATTCGTGATTAAAAATAAGTGAATAACATACATATTAACTATTTTAATGTAAATTTATTGAAAATATCCTATAATAAAATTCTTAAAGCAGCTAGTATATATATATCACAGTCTTATAAAAATCTATATATAGTTTGATATAGTTAACAAGTGAAAAATGTAAATGGACGGAAACTATACGTCATCATAACAATTATAAGTGTACAACGACCAGACACAATACTTATGAAGAATCAATTCATTATATTTCCTGTAGAATCAGATTGCAACAAGCACTTGAGCTAATGAATAATACTTTAACAAAATAATTTGCTGGTCACGTTGGAAATTGTCCCTCCAACGTGTCCCTCTGCATATTATAGTATATCGTAACAGACGTTTGGGTATTAAACAATAAAGGTGATAGAAACAGTTCAAAATCAGATATCTCATTGGCAAGTCTTGACAAATTCAATAGTATTTCTTAGTACTTTAAGGATTAGCAAAGCTTGACCCTAAACTATCTATGCTGCACAAGTTGAAAATGTGGATGATAACGGGAAAATAGCAATCGAATAAGCAATGAGGTACTGAAATGACAGGACAAAAAGCATGTCAATTATTTGGACTATCATCGTTCGGACATTATGAATTATATCTTTTTAATTGTCATCTATAGCTCAAAATTTCCCATATAATTATCCTTTGGTTTAAAATGTATTCTTCTATTAATCCGTTAACGGACTTCGTATCTACGTGTCAAAGACAGTTTTTAGCAGATTATCTTAACAATGGACAATAATTGCTTAAACCGTAGTTACATGTATTTCTTTATTATTATGTTTTATATACTTCTTAAAAATAATTGATATTCAGTTTTGGAAAAGTATTCTAACCGTAAACACCGGGCTAAAGTTGGATCGTTTATTAAATTGTTAAACTGTATACCGACTTGAACCTTCATTTGATACCCATCAAATAGTCTGGTTATACTGACATAAGTATGAATACAAGAAGATGCGGGTAAACGTCAATGTGACACCAACACAACAACAAAAACAACCAAAACACACCTAGACATACCTGCAACAATAGACATATGTCTATAAATATTTCAAGCTCTAAATTGTCTTGAGTCTTGTTGTAAATAAAATAAACAGAAAGAATTAAATATGTATGCCATCAACACCCATTTCATCAAGTAACAGAAAACATTAAGATATGACATACGACAATTACTGGGACAGGCACATTAAAATTAAACGGGGCCCAGTTATTCTAGTTTTTTGTGACCTCAACACTTTTTTATACTCAATCAGTAGTTAACAAAACGTACATAAAAACATACAATAAAATGTCAGGTAGAAAACTTAATTCTATACAATAACCGTATAATAACTTTCATTAACACGAAGTATACGTAATTGAGCAATATTACAGATCTCTGTTTTATCCTTTTAACGCTCTTTTCATTCTACTATCAAGACTTAAACTTGCAGTGAGGTTTTTTTTTAGCTCTGTATTCAAGGCCTCACTGTGACTTTGAGATGAAGAACAACAATACAAGCGCTGTTCCTTTGCTTTTAGTGGGTTTTTTTTGCTGTGCATGTACTGATTTTGTGTCATGGATGGATACCCCACATCCTTTGTTTTTCTATTATAGTAATTTCTAGGGAAATTAATGAATCCGGTGACCCTATATAATTAAAACAGAAATATTCATAGCAATAACGTGTTATTAAAAATAAAAATAATAATTTTTTTTAGAAAAATTACAATTTAAAGTGAAAGAAATGCATTTTCACCGTTTTTACACCTTAAACAGGACTTCATACTTAGTTGGTTGATATTATATGTTTCATATCAAATGCATATACATACTATATTTGTACTTGTTGATGTTTTAACACGAATCAATACTTTTTAACAATCGAGGCTTCTATTCAAATAAATACTACTTAATGCTGCAAACACAAAACACCGAAAGAGGAAAATACGACTTAACATTCAAAATTTGCATGACTAGTTAGGCTTGTTACAATGTTATGTTATAAATGTATTGAGTCGAGAAGATTCTAAAAGCAAAAGTCCTAAGATATAACTGTACAACAAACTACATATAAAAACATCCTATTTCTTTGGTTGAGGAGTTCTTGCTGAGCGTGGTTTATCATTAATAGCTTTTCTTTGCCCTGCACCAAGCTGTCCATAACTATCTGTAGCATTTCCTTTCCCGCCAGCTTTCTGAAATCACAGAGAAATATACTTCTATTTTTGTCTCTATCTCTCACTAGTCAGAGCAAATTTGCAAAGTAACCAAAGAAAATATATTATAATAAACTGTTAACACAGAGATATGTCACGCCTTTTTTGTTATTTTGATAATGCAAATGTTGAAATTAAAATAGCAATACTTTAACATGTAAGTTATTCAAATATTCAAAGTCAATGAACCATGACTGAAGGTACAGGGCTAAACAATCTCCATGGAAATGAGATGTGCCAATGATAATACAACTGCATACCAAATACCATTGACTTTTCATAAGTCGTTCCCTTTAAACCAAACTAAACACAAATATTAACTTGTAAACTATGTAAAAGTATGAGGGGGCGGGGTTATATAATCTCCATGGAAATGAAACTTGCAAATGCCAATACATTTGCATACAAAATATCATTGACTTAACATTAGTGGTTCATCTTGAACGGACCTAATCACAAACTAATACATATGTAAACTAAGCAAAAGTTTCAAAGTCAATAGACCATGACTGTGGGGGCGGGGCCAAATATTCTCCATGGAAATGAGATGTGCTAATGCTTATACAACTGCATACCAATTAACATTGGCATACCACTAACGGTCCCCCTAAAAATGACCTAATCACAAACTAATACATGAAAACTAAGCAAAAGTTTCAAAGTCAATAGACCATGACTGAGGAGTCGGAGCCAAATAATCTTCATGGAAATGAGATATGCCAATGCTTATACAACTGCATACAAAATATCATTGACCTACCACTAGTGGTTCCCCATAAACTGACCTAATCACAAACTAATACATGTAAACTAAGCAAAGTTTAGAAGTCAATAGACCATGACTGAGGGCAGGGCCAAATATTCTCCAATGCTAATACAACTGCATACCAACTATCATTGACCTACCACTAGTGGTTCACCATAAACTAGACCTAATCACAAACTAATACATTGTTGACGCCGCCGCCGACGCCGGAAACAGCATACCTATGTCTCGCTTTTTGACTCCGTCAAGGCGAGACAAAAATACACAGAGCATCCGATAATGCCGTTTTAACTGACCAGTTTTAATAAGCGCTAACTGCCTTCCGGTGGCAGTCTAGAGACGAAATTCTTATTTCTGTCCATCTCATCCCGAGTACATGATTTTAGTATTGTTGAACACTGCATGAAATAAGTATTTTCCAATATATCAGACCAACCATGAATCACTTCAGAGATTATGTGTTCAATTCATAAACTTCGAAGCGCGTACATCAAAACGGGATGTCATGACTTCACCGCTTGAAAAGCTGCGGTGTTTAGGTCCTGTTCGCTTTTGATTTCGTTAAACGTCAAGTTATGCAATTAGTATCATGGCTGTAATAGGAACACAGATCTTTAGTGAAAACTCAAACCGGTATAAAACATTTATTCTTGTACACTGCTTTGCTAATGTCACGCCTCTTATAAGAAGTCACAATTTACCGTTTTATGCTGAAAATACCAATATAGTAAATATAGTACAGCATAACATTGCTTACCCTTTCTTGATATCTTCTCTCATAATAATCCATATCAGCCTCTCCTGGTCTTTTCATCTGAGAGACCCTTTCAGTTAGGTCACTAAATATTTCATCGTCTGGGTCGTCAATTCCTGACAATTGGATAAGCATTCAATTAACTATGAATTAAGGTTGCACTTGTTTTGAGGTAAAAGGTTCACCTATAGTCATTGTCCATTGCAAGATGATTATAGATCTAGCTATAATATACAAAACTAAACAATTTCAAAAACTAATGGCCATTGGGTAAATATTTATGTAACACCCGTTTATATGTATACTATTTCGTTAGCTATACAATATAGATAATTGTCTTGTTAATTTAATGTTTAAGTGGTTACGTAATTACAAATACAATACGAATGTGGCACTATATCGACAAAACAACTTACTTAAAAAATATAAAGTATGATACCGATTACCGTTCGCACATGACGTGGTTCTGGAATACTTAGTAACCTAAATCCCCATTATCCGGTACGCACGAGACCTTCAGTTAGGGAAGCCAAAATTATACAACGTTTATGAGAATGCAAACCCCAAAAAAAATTTGGCTGCGAGAATATTTAATTGTTCTAATAAATTTGTTTATTTCCTTTGGACAGCATACAGCATAGTTATAAGAAAGAATTACTGAAAATGTACATTACACAAGTTTTAAGGTCACTATCAAGAATAGTTGTGAAATGGTTGACCGAAACGATGTGCCTTCGTTCCAACCCATGAGATACATAGCGACATCCTAACAGCATCTGCATATGAAGTTTACAAAATAAGATAATATAATTCAATAGAGGATCATGACGACAAAATCAGTACAATAAAAACATACAAATTGCAAAGTATTAATATAGCTCAAATCTGCAAAAAGCAAAAAGCATGAGTTGATGTTAAAACATATACACCATGATTTGTTGTGTTATTTGATCATGTACCAAAAGCAGCCTTATTTCCAATAAAAACTTAAATTCAGATTGGCTCGTGTTAGTGCAAATGAACACATTTTAAAGACACCCAAATGGAAACTACATAATTCAACTGTATCCAAGAGTGTAAAGATGTTGTACATGTGTAAGTGAATGTATTATTTATATACATTTATTTGGTCTAGTGTCCCTTTAACACCTGCTTATGCAAATGTGCAAGTATACCAACTAGTATCCAGATGCAAAAGTCACCAAGGGTAGGCGCTCATAGGACATTCACATGTGCATTTGTTCCACTTAAGTGCAAAATTTGTTTGGGTTTAAACAAAATAAAAGGATACTGATGCATTCTCCAGTACAACATGTCCCAATGTTCAAAGAAAAAAAAAGCATAAAAATATACTGAGACAACTGGGTAAATTATGTGGACTTTTCATTATTTGTTAATGATTGTAAATAGTTCAAATAAGATATCTTTATTTTCGTTATTTATTAATCAATTGAACCAAAGCTAAGTAGTCAACTTATCAAATTTATCTCGTTACTAGCACACAACAATAGTTGACTTCTATGTTTATCTAAAAAGTACAATTCAGAAGGAAATGCAACTCATCCTCAACTTGAGCATCTTAGACAAGCCCTATTGTGCTGAGGAGTATCCTGATATCTACCCGTCTCCATCTTAACAGAGTGTGCTAACACATCAACTTGTCAATTTTTATTCTAAGGTTAACACTGTGAACTACAGACAACTATTTCTCACAACCCAACGTTACTTTTAAAAGCACACAAGAACATATAGTTTACCACTAGCATGCAGCTGTTTATTTTGTCCCCGTTCTTTAAAAAAGCAGTTAATAACAGATTTATTATTTACATTGTAGTTTTTATTTTGTCAATGGCTTTGTAGAATTAGTCATTTATATCTGAAATTTTTCGTTTGAGACCAGTTTGAATGACCATATATTAATATGCTTTCGGAAAATCAATAAAGCAGTCGTACACTTTTCCATTACTGAAACTACAATACTTTTCGATTCTGGGTTTTAAAACAAACCTTTGGTCAGAAGTTCTTTATTTCCATTTAAACTTAATTTAACACTCGACTTTGGTGTTGTATTTAATTAGAATATTATCGAGAAGTTATAATAAGACACACTTTTGACTTGACCCTTAAACTTCTTGTATAGTCCTCCCTAATTGATACGATATCCCAGAGCTTACATGTCCTATCATAATTTCCTTGATAGAGGATTGCTGGTTACAAGAAAGCTATCGAACTTCATATCTCCTCGAAAGATTTATAGACGCGATCATGATTTAGTTGACCATTTTGTAATACCTGTGTCACAGATTACCATTGATATGTTTCACATCCACGATCATGTCCGCTTTTCCCAATCATGACAACTCTAAGATTATTACTTGCCATAAGGAACACAACGGGTGCAACTATCGGCGCAGGAACAGCTTACCCTTCCAGAGCACCTGAGTTCACTCCAGGTTTAAGGTAGGGATCGTGCTGCTCTAGTTTAGTTTTCTGTGCTGAGTTTTATCGGCTGTTTTTTGTCAGTTCGTCTTTTTTCTTTTGACAATGGTGTTATCTGTTTTCTTCGAAATGTGGAATTTGATTGACCCCTTGGTATGACTCCCCCTTTTTAATATATAGGCACTATTATATCTGAAATTTTATCGATGATGTCCTATTGCTCATTGTGAGATTTTCACTGAATCTGAATTCGCATGGCGGATGATACATGCATATCAAAATACGCTTACTCTGTCAATGCAACCGGTTTCGCTCCGATTGGAGTTCATGCGATTCCCCCAGTTTTTTCTCTCTCTTATTTGTATTTACAGATTTTGAAAATCGATAAACTTCTGTTTCCTCTTATCTATATTCATGTCAAAATTAAAGACGTATGAGATAGACAAACAACTAGAAGAAAAACATAAATGCAGTGTTTTCCTATGTGTTTTATGAAATCAAAATTCAAATAGCTACATACCTCCTTTCAGCATGTTCTTCTGCATTTGATGAGATTTGATAGCTTGGACATTTGATCGCAAGAAGGGGTTGTCGGCTGATGTAATCGACTGCTCAAGGAAACCTTTGTTTGGAGCACCTGAAAGGAAACATATTATATACTATTACTTACTTATACTATAAAGTAATGTTGCCTGAGTAGCCAAAGTATCAAAATGTTCTTTCGAAAAGTACTTTCGTTAAAATGTACAACATACAAGCTTTTAAAATTGAGCAAGCGCATTCTATGCAACCTAACATGGCATGAATTGCTGTTCATTGACACTGTTTTGACTTAGATTCCCGACCTCATATGAACTCGAATCTATGAAAATCTCATACATGTGTATATTAAGCTACATGAAAATTGAAATATTTTTTTCTTAGACCATTGAAATCAGCTTGACTATTGATCTGTGACCTTGAAAATAAGTATCATCTTTTTTCCCTAAGAATACGCACCAAGTTTTGATGAATGTTACGCCAGTCTGTTATGTATCCGGATGTAAAGGTTTTGAAGCAAACCTTTAAAGTCAGCTTTTTGAACTCGGACATTTAAAATTTAAAAAATGGTTCTGCATACCAAGTTTTGTAAAGTTTGACCAAACCGTTCGCATTATGTTGAAATGTTGAATACTCCAAAACAAGGACCTTTGATCTCTAATCTTGAAAACAATTGACTTATGCAAAATATTCACTGAAGTTTACATGTATGTGTGATTATCTTCGACATTAGTAGTTATATGTATTTTGGTGCAAGGTTGGGGAAATTAAGTGAACTGTCGTATCCACAATTTACTGTATGACATTAAAACGTACAAATGTAACTGTTTCTTCCCATAAGTAATTATTTTAGGAAAAAACAATTCTTACCGTTAAATTGTGTACAATTTTGGACAGGGGAGAAGAGTTCTTTTGTAGAAATATTTCAAATAGAATACTTTTGCACCGTTTCCACTAATGATAGGATTACGAAATTTAAAGTATTTCATTTATAATTTATGTCATATTTCTATTGAATTTTTGGATTAAAGTTAAACTTGAAACAACTATTAATTATATTTAAGACACATATATACCTCTACCACTAGGATCTAGCCTCATATATCCGTCTGCAAGGGACGAAAAGCCAGTTATTCCACCCATGGCAGCATAAGGCGTGGCCTGTCCTATTGGATGACCTCTGGCCTCGCGTTCTTCAGCAGTTTCTACAATCATTTTGTGTTGTTTGTATGAACCTCCACATCCACAGGTGAAGGAACTTGTAAACCCAGTGCATTTTATACATCCTCCTACATTAATATACAATGTAAACGAAAATAAATAAATAAGATTACGATGAAAACAGCTCAATAACGATTTCAAAAATGTTTAAAGGTGGAAATGAATAATATTTGTGCAAAACACAAAAAAAATCTTAAAAAAAAACCCAACCCAGAACAAGAATTATCAAAAATGGTAAACATAAGAATATTTATTTACATTAGAAGTAATAGTTTCCTTTGCTGTGCATGTGCATCAATCTATTGCTCTGTATATGTTCTTACGTTTTTTGCACCGGTAAGGCTGTTCTTCTGAATGCTCTTCGGACGTGTGTTTGCACGTACATCTTATTGGCTGACTACCATTTAGTGGAGCGAAATGGTAAGTTGCACATTTGCAGCCCCTTTGTCTGCATGGAAGTTTAATAGGTCTATCTGTAGGTATTACTTCAAAATCAGTTTTATGCTGTTTGTATCTGAAAAGGGATTTTAAATTAGCAGATTAAATTCAAAATTCCGATTCCGATTCCCAAGACAGAGATGTATATCCAAAATACATTTATAGATATATTGTTTATTAAAAAAAACTAATTTTGCCACTTAAAAAACAATATATCGACGAGATAAAAATACTTTTTTTATGGGAGAAAAATACCAACTTAAAACTACTTAAATGTAACATGAATACCAGGTGCAAGTGTTAACAAGTGAAGATGTTTACAATGTCTCTATGCTATTCAATACTAGTCTTGTCTTTGTCATTTGGACATTTTTATATAAAAAAGTTGCGTTTACTTAATTTTCTGTTCCCTTACTTGTTTAAGAGTTTGCGTAACATGCTTGAATTTGTTTTAAATCGTATTCATTAATAACAATTTCATCGTGTTATACATAATTAGTTGATCAAAATGATTTTAGGGACTTTTTTTTACATTACCTATGCGTACAGAAGCATGGCGTTTCAGGTCCGATCATTTTACAGTCCATACCAGTGGGTGCTGAGTAACTAACGAACAGTCTGTTTTTCATTCTCTACAAGTAAATATAATTGATACTTTATGTAAGGATTTGCTATATATGTGCATCCTAGCACGGTACATTGAGTTACAATTGCCTTTTATAAGTGAGCCACAGACTACATAGATATAAGAAGATGTGGTATGAGTGCCAATGAGACAACTCTCCATCCAAGTCAAAATTTATAAAAGTAAACTATTATAGGTCAAAGTACGGTCTTCAACACGGAGCCTTGGCTCACACCGAACAGCAAGCTATAAAGGGCCCCAAAAATTACTAGTGTAAAACCATTCAAACGGGGAAACCAACGGTCTAATCTATAAAAAAAAACGAGAAACGAGAAACACTTATGAACCACATCAACAAACGACAACTACTGAACATCAGATTCCTGACTTAGGACAGGTGCAAACAATTGCAGCGGGTTTAAACGTAAGTTGCATGTACATACAAATGTAGTCTATCACACCAATCTCATAATATCTCACCTTTCGAACTATATACAGTTTTGGAATCATGGTGTTTCTACAATCTATAATCTACACGTTACCAGAACTAACATTTGACTTAATGTCAACCTTGACAAAATGTAAGTGTTTCTACAATCTATAATCTACACGTTACCAGAACTAACATTTGACTTAATGTCAACCTTGACAAAATGTAAGTGTTTCTACAATCTATAATCTACACGTTACCAGAACTAACATTTGACTTAATGTCAACCTTGACAAAATGTATATACCTGTTGTATTACCACAGGTCTCCATTGGCATTATCTGTGAAAGCTTTTATTTACAAGTCGTACATTTCTAAATTTGAATGGAAGCTTTTCTTTACTACACAAATGATACTTTACTCAGAACTCATACAATACTAGTATACGTTTCAGGTAATGTTAGATAGACATTTACATGACAGGCGCTTCCAATCAGAAGTTGAGCGCAAACCTAGATGAAAATCTGGGAACAGTATATCAATATATATGTTCCTGATGAAAATTAAGTATTACCTGAAAATAAGATAGTCGTGGGTTTTTAAAAGATCTTTGACAATAGAAGGTACCACTTGTAATCAATGGTGTAATTCAGAAGACACCAATACGAGTCAACCTTGCCTCTGTACTTTTTTTTACCAATTCGTATTAAAAACTTGCATAAGTATAGTAATCATACCATTGGCAATACTTTCTTTTTGTATTCCTCAAACTGATCCGGTGTCATGAGTTCCCCTCCGTCATCATCGCCAACGATTCTGTAAAAGATATAAATTTGTGTCAAGGTGTAGACCACGTGCAGAATGCATGCATGGTTCAAACATTTGATATGTACGATGAATAAATCTTTTTTCATTATTTCATTATGGTTCTTATTTGAATAGCTCTTTTCACAAAAAATCTTACACCGAAAATTGTTCGTAAGTTGTACTAAAATATTCATGACTTGCTAGCAGTTTTTTTGTAAGATGTTTTTTTGATATTGATTGCTGCATATCAACGTCAGTAGTAACAAAACTAAATTGTATAGTTGCTAATTGCTTTGCGCATTTTTATGTTCCAGATTTTGTTTTGCATTTGATGATTTATTATCTATATTTCAAATTCTGTTCACTGGAGGGCAGTTTTAATTTTAATAATCATGAACTCATAGTTAGCTCCACATCCTTAAGATAATAAAGATACATAAACATACCATCCAATCTTATTTCTATATAAGGAACCGGGGCAACAAAAATTAGACAATCCCTTCTAAACATGTTATAATACGTACGGACAATAATTTGGGGTCAATAGTGGGCGTCTAGTAACGATTTGAAAATTTTGGAATAAAAATTGGAGTTTTTCACATTACATTTAATGACATATACAAGAATACTTAAAGCAATAGTTAAATGTAGAAAAGAGAAATACTAACATCTACCAAAATATTCTTAATCATTTTGGCTAGTATTTGTTTCAAAATTTCTTGTAGATACCTCGAATTGAAATGGGGCCGAACTATAATCAAAAGAGATACTGATTATAATTGACTGCATACTGTAGATGCAATTTTTGTATTTGCTGTTACACCTGTTGACACATGAAATGTTATAAGGAGATGTGGTGCGATTGCCAATGAGACAACTATCCACCAGATACCAAAGGACATGGATTTAAGAATCTTATAGGTCACCCTAGGCCTTCAACAATGAGAAAAAGCCATACCATATAGGAAGCTAAAAAGTCTGTATCGTTAGACATTGTAATTACCGGTTTTAGTCAATTTACTGCACCGACATTCGGATAGAAAGTTTAAATACCGGTTGAATGCATTCAATTTTCCCTATTCATACATGAATGTACTTTGTTGAACTTTGCAATACCTATATCGATATTATAGTTAACAACATAGTTGACTTGCCTTTTGTATTCCAAATATTCGTCCACAGCCTGAGCATTTTTGTTGTCAAATTTCAAATGGTACTGTCTCTCCGCCATTTTTTACTTTTACCTGGATGTTTATATTAACTACAGGATCAATATGTTTATATTCAAACCCATTAAGCATATCTAATGTTTAGTCAGACATGTAGGTTTTTGCTACACCCAATATTTAAATGGTATAAATCTTATTCAAAAAGATTAATTACGGTTTGTGACGTAAACATGTACTTTTCCCTCTTATCGCAGTGTTTGGGAAAGATACATGTACGCCGAAATTTTTCTTAAATAAAAAAAAGAGTATACGTAAGTTTGGTATAAAGATAACTTTTAATCAGCATAGTTACCAAATTTAACATTCGATTGACAAGAATTGAGACAAGTTACTTGTTGAAAGTTTGGTATCACCAGTTATCCCCACTTCACACGTATATATAGTCTCACTCAGTAAATTATAGCATTCGTTCATCATCTTTATCATATGGTTGATTTGAGTATTTATGTATTATTTTTCGTGTATTTTATTCAATATCTTTTGTGCTTTCAATCATGAAAAGCCTATAGTTTTCCATATAACATTTATTAATTAACTTAGGTTTTTGTGTTGCTTTTTCGTTGAGTTGATCCGACAACTCCTTTTACATTAGGATCAAACTCGACGGAAATATTTGGCAGTGTAAACTTTTTCAAGTTTTGACACACACAATACATGACTTGACTTAATATAAGTTCCTTATCTATGGCAAAACTCATTTTCTAATCTATGTAGTATGCATCAAGTTCTTCAGCAATAGGCGAACTTTAACTGCTTTGATTGTTCTGTTCGGATCCTATGTGATTAAAGTGATTAAAATTATTTATATATCCTTTGATCCTAAAATTTAAATATCAGTAACTGCGAGTATTCTTTGATACGGTATTACTTATTAAATGCTGTTCTTGTACTATTGTTTTTGTTCTCTATAGAAAAAAAATACAAAATTGAGTGCTTTTTATTGTACTTCTTTTATGTACATTTTGTTATAGCACTTATCGATATAAAAAATTGCAGGGTCGATTTATAAAAAAAATATAGTCTAACTTCCAAATGTTCATGTGACTGTCTCAAGTCCTGAACTTACTCAGTGGTTGTCTTTTATTATATCTAAATGTTTGTTTTTTTTTAATTTGGAGAATAAGGTGTTAATGGCAGATAGACACTGTTGAAAATATTCACAAACCTATTTTTACAGCACTGTATATACTGTTGAAGACTTATGTTTATCTTTGATGCCTTTCGATTTTCGAATAGTTGGGCTGCTTAAGGTATACCCCATATCTCGTTTTATTATCAATTCCATACATCATTTTTGTAAAGTTTGTTAGAAATTGATTACTAGGTAGTTTAGAAAAGAAGATGGAAATGTAGAAAGTTAACTGACGACGGACGACATACAACAAATAATAGCAATAGGTCACCCGGCCTAAGGTCTCGGATTTATAATTTGTAGCTTATTCCTGCATCGTGTGCATGATAATCGGTAGGATCAGAATAAGAATTGAGCTGAAAGATGTTGGGATAATTTAATATACATTATGACGATAAGTTAGGAGAATTTAAGTTTGAATACATACGCGAGATAACATTTAACACACTGCACGTTTTTGTCATTATCAATACCGTGTTACTAATTTTCATTTCATTTTGTTTCATGAAAAATTCAATTGACTACCTTTTGATTGTATATCTTCAAAGTTTATCAGTTAAATACATTTATGTATATTTCATAAGCAGTCAGGGAGAATTTATGAATATAAACAATGCTGTGTGCTCTGTTGTTAACGGATATTATATCATCTCTATGATGAAAAGGTTTAAAATGAAAGTTATTATTTGATCTTATTAAAGTTCTCAACATTTTGATTTGTTTCTTTTCAAGTATCATGTTCCCATTCTTATTTTTTCATCGTTACGAATGCTAAATTCTCCCTATTCCCGATATCCATTCTGTTCTATATAGATCCATTTTTACCTTGTTAAATATACATATTACTATTTCAAAAGTACTTTCAAAGCATATTTTCATAACAAAAATTCTAAATGCCGCATTTAAGCAGTACTTATAGTTTGGGAGAATTTAAAAATTGTTCATGTAAATATTTAACTGCATTTTATACACCTCGGGATTTTCCCTTGCCTTTACTTACAAGACAAGTTTGAACTAATATAATATTGATTATATTCATTATTCACATCACATGATCACATGATACTATGTATATAAATACAGCTTTATTTTTCAATCAACCATTTGAAGTAGACTGAAGTTTGTAACATAACAAACATGGCAAACATAAATAGTTTACATGTACCACCAGGGGGATTGTTAGAAATAATATTTTCCTTTGATACCACGGGTTCAATGTCCTCAATATTAGATGAAGTTCAAAGCCGACTGCAAGATATGATACAACGTTTGCAATCTGACATTCCCGGAATCAGAATAGGGGTTATTGCACACGGTGACTATTGCGACAAGGATGTCTTCTATTTAACAAAAGAAATTGACCTGTGTCAAAATGTTGCTGAACTCTGTAAGTTTGTACAAGATATTGAAGGTACCGGTGGAGGAGATGTGGACGAATGTTATGAGCTCGTTCTGCGCATGGTTCGACAAAAAAGTTCCTGGACTCCAGGTTCACAAAGAATTCTTGTGATGATAGGTGATGCCAATCCACATGAACCAAGCTATGAACAGAATGTCGACAATATTGATTGGAGAGAAGAATTAAAACTTATGAAATTATCGGTAATTGATATACTTTTTCATACTGTTGAAACAGCAAATTGTAAAGGAGAAGCCACTTTTAAAATTCGAAAGTCTATTTTTATGTGGTTTGGGGTTTTCAAATGAAAAACAGCGGGAAATTAATGATTTTATCGTGTTTTTAAAAAGCAAATAGTGAAACAAAGGACTATAATTGAGTATTATTATGTGTAACTAAATATTCTACATTGTTGTTTAATCTAAATGCATTCTTTCTCTATTCAAATTTCAGGGTATAAAAGTGTATGGCGTTCAGGTGTTTAACTTTACAGGAGTTGATGAGTTCTATAGAAGTTTAGCAACAGAAACTAACGGATATTATCTTAGTTTAACAGAATTTTCAAACATTTGTGATCTAATGATGGCTATTTGTTACGCAGAGCGGGGCGATGACTTCTTAATGGTAGGTTTATTAGCAAGCACTTTGGAATATGAAAAAAATCAAGACTCCACGTCAGTAATAAGTTAAAGATTTATGTATTCAAACATACGACAATATATGCTAAGAAATAATTAAACTGCAAAATGAAATATACATATATATATATATATATACAAGTCTAAATTGAAAACAACGTTCAAACCTATGATTGCGTTGGATAAAAACCGCAATTTTTATACGTGTGCATGCAAAAACAAATTTCTTGTTAGAGGGGTCTAAATACAGCACAAACAACATTTTCCAAAAGACCAAAAAAGTGAAAAAGTATATTTTAACAAAACGCATTTGACTAACAGGTCGAACAACAAATGTTCTTAAACCCTGCTGACTGCCATTGGCGATTGCCAAATAAACGGATCACAAGGTGTAATAAATGGATCTTAATTAAAAAAATTATACCAAACAGAAAACAATAAACTTGCGGCAAAGATGGTATACCGCAAACAAAGGTGCAAAGATTTTTGTACACCATATCCGGATTTCGACAATTAATGTCTCTTCAGTGATGTTAGGAATCGAAACAGTATTTGGAAGGCCATGTAATTTGCCTCAATTTAGGATAGACTCTCGAATTTTGAGGAGTCAAATTAGGATGAACGGATCATATAAACCCGAAGGCAAATATAATACAAGCCCAAACGAAAAAATATTAACAAGTCTAAATTGAAAACAACGTTCAAACCTATGATTGCGTTGGATAAAAACCGCAATTTTTATACGTGTGCATGCAAAAACAAATTTCTTGTTAGAGGGGTCTAAATACAGCACAAACAACATTTTCTATAATATATATATATATATATATATATATATATATTATAGAAAAGTGATAGAGAAAATCAAAACAAAACACATACAACCGTACACAATTGAAAAGGCAAACTAATTTTCAATTAGATTTGATGCATTATATTCGAGATTGCAGTTCCAACATGCCTATACTCTAATTTTTTAAATTTTAGAACTATGAAAACGAAGTCCGATCGCGCTTTGGTAGATCTGAGAATGTTCCAAAGGATGTTGAAGGTATATTTGGAACTTTACGCAGAGGTGACTCTACGAAAAGTACAACAAGCGGGACGACAGTTACAGTTCATAGTCAACCAACTTCTGCTAGAATTGCAACAGTGATACCAATTTGTAGAAAACGCAAGATATCTGCTATTGCAAAGGACACAAAAGCAGTTGATAACGAAAATGTTCAAAGGAAGAAAGCAAAGTTAAAACGGACATTAAAGGTATGTATATATTTTCATTATCTTTTAAAATATTTTTGCGGCAATATTTTTGAATGAATTATTTTATATGATATGTTGAACTTTCTTATGACGCCATAAAATCTAGTTTGTAAAAATATGATATTAAGTATATGTATATAAGATAGACTACAATTAAATATTATATGGATACAAGTATGAATGCGTTTAGTTTTTGCCACCAAAAAGGATAATTGGATTTTTTAAACGCAAGAAATATCGTATGTAAAGCATAGATAGAAGCGCGATATAGAAAAGAGTAAGTAAAGACCTGTTTCTTTTTTGTAGGAATTCAGAGAAAGCTTGAGTACAACACAATACGATAAAAGGTGTTCGTGTAATTCATCAACCAGGTGGCTACTTGTTTATTCCCCTGAAGATCTTCACTCGAATAAATTCATGCCTCGTCGTTTACATAATGCCAATAGATACTGGAAGAAAATGGTAGCATTTCCAAAGCTTTCAAATGACAAGGGTGTGTATGAACTAGCAGTTCAAACCAAACCAGGTAGAAAACTGCATGTTGTGTACAGTCGTGTCTTCGACCAAAGGAAATCAAAGTTAATGCAGACGACTAAATGGGAAGATGTTTTATTTCAGTCGAAATATCAGAAAAGTAACATTATGTCACGCATAAGGAATGTATCTGCCAATCAAGGATGTCGTGTGTTCTTAAGACGAATGAAATACTCAAAGAAGACAGTTGAAGTTGTTAGTAGACTGGATTTTGCATGGAAACATGCTAAGTCAAGGAAGCTGGTGAAAAATTATATTGAAATATCCTAGCAAAAATGTGATCGTTTTATTAATTATTTTGTTATTTGAGAATATTATAGATTCGATTATTTTGTTTCATTAATGTGCAATATTTGCCAAGAGCATGAAGTTTGTAATTTATGTTCATGTGTATTTGATATTTGTTATCAAAATAAATTTAAAATAAAGCATTTTCTATTTAACTGCGACGAACAACTGAAGTTGTCTGAGAGCAAACACACTTTTAGAATCCCTAGTGTTCTATTTAGCAGACACAGCCGAATTGTGGATGATAGTGAGTCTTGTAAAATTTATTCTTAATTCCATTTCACCAATCAATTAAATTAATGTAAGTCTTAAATTTCAGACAAAAAACGTTCTGAGCATTTTTCTGGCCGTCAATCTTTCTGAAGAACTCTCACAGCCGAAGCAATTTAAAAGTCAAAGTAAAACGAAAAAAACTGAGTGCAATAATACTAAATTAAGCATAATAAATCATACAATTGTATAAGGTTAACTTTTTATTAAAGATTCAGTAAGAGCATTACAAAAGATATTTTTATTCTAATTTATTCATACTCATGTACTAGTCAATTTCTACCATGGATATATCTCGCTTATCGTAGCCACAACCCCGCCCTAATTTCCTCGTTTATAACATTATCAAATGAAATTTATCACCCAATGTTCACTCGAGACATGGATAAAAAACACGAGTGCGACTAGTGGAGCAGGATCAACTTTTCCTCCACACCACCTTAGTAGTTCAAAACGTGGATAGGGCCATGTTGTCAATGTCTATTTTTCTGTGCAGTGTTCTCTAAATTGTTGTCTGCTTTTTTTCATTTTGTCGTGGTGCTGACTGCCTTTCGACGACTAACGGTTTGTATTGCTCCCCATTGATATATTGCGTCTTGCATTATTTGGGATGAAAATTAATTCCAAAATTTGAAAAAAAATTATGGAGGACTAAAATGTTTCTTTTATTATTACCCCCGTGCTCAATCCCAGCAGTAACACATAGCAGAATCTTGAAATACGCCACAATAATAACGCTATGAATGTAAACTGTATGTGTCGGCAATTATTTACAAGTCTTAAGGACAGAATTATGGTAGAAAACGAATGTTATGATAACCAGTAAATCAGTGAATCTTCCAAACTATTTAAATATTATTAAGAATAGTTAGGATAGAAAGTTGAAGCCTCAACCAAAAGTCAAACTACATATGCCAATTTGCAGTTGCAGACGAAGGTTTAAAATAATTTTGATATTTGCGCTGAGACAAACATGTAGTCGTTTAAAGTATTTGGCGCAAGAAGGTATTGTATGAATCATACCTTTTATATCATTTAAAGCAATTTAACAGATGTTGTTAACATGTTTGTGTTGCTTTTTGTGGCATGTTCCCAATGGGATCGAAACTGAAAAATTTGATTGTCTTAGAACTCCTCTCAGACCATTAAAGATAACATGGTATTTCATGTCTAATCGACACTGTAACAGTTTTATCCTGCAATCAGCCAACTATTGTACAAATAACAGGTACACAAATAAATTTTTGCTTTATTTGTACTTGTACAAATAAAGTCTCCTGTTACCCCTTTTCCATGCTGAGCAAGCGGTAATGTGGATATTTCTTTTTGCGTACCAGTTCATTTTGGTGTCCTCTTCGCGGTCCGCGTTTAAACTATGTCGATTTCTTTGAAAAATTAGAGACAATGATTTAAATTTTAACAACTAAAGTTTCAAGTGTTGGGTGTAAATTTCAGGATAAAAACAATATATGTACATTGTCGGAAAATATAAAATGTATTTGTACTCGCTGCGAAACAGGAGAAAAGCTCGGCGAGCCTCGCTTTTCGTCCTGTTTCTAAAGCTCATACAAATAAATTTTATATTTTCCGACAATGTACATATATTGTATATTTATATGTCCAATATGATTCTGTAAATTTGATTTTTACCATTGAGCCAGAAAAAAAGAAAGAAAATGTATTTTACAGTTACCAGTAACTAGAATATAGTGAACATCGTAAATTTTTTGGTGCACACTTAATATTGAAAGCGTTGCGTGTACCAAAGGTTTCAAAAATTTTAAATTTTGCCCTTTGGACAGAAAAAGGACGAAAACCTTTATAGAGTTACCCAGTATACAGTGAAATGATGTGATTGTCCCAGAAACCCACACAATGCCAGTTCTAATAAACGACCGATTATCTAATTTTAGGTTCGTTCCTACAATTTATTATATTCGGTTTAGTTTTTCATCTTCAAATTTCAAGTTTTAGATGTTTCTATTGTATATTGAACAATACTTGGTAAAATATTTTTAATCCAACTAAGTACTTTTGCAACATGCTCATAAGGAATGCTCAGCCTGAAAAATATAACCGATGTATCTTAAGTCAACCAAAGCGAGGAACTTTAACTACTGCATATAGGACCGTTTGTTAAACGGGATTTTCTTCCTTGTACTCTATAGGTAAACATATTTTTGTGACTTTGAAGACTACGTTTGAAAGTATTTGGTTATATAATCGTTATTACGGGCAGAAGTCGAAATATATACATAAATTATGGCAGCCAGAAATTTCATAACTGTGGTGAAAAAATGTAATAATTTCTTGATACAAGGTAAATATATTAATAATATGCTAAAGAAGACGAAATAATTATTAAATGTCGATATGGATGCGTGAGCTTTATGCAAAATTACATAAAATTATTGGAAAAGAACGAAAATGTAAAAATGTATTAAATTATTACATTTTCCTCTGAATATACATAATAAAGGAAAATGCAAAGGTTCAGCCTACATTTGAAGTTATAATTAAGGAACATGCAAAGGTTCAGCCTACATTTGAAGTTATAATTAAGAAACATGCAAAGGTTCAGCCTACATTTGACGTTATAATAAAGGAATATGCAAATTTTCAACCTACATTTGAAGTTAGACGACTAGATAAGCAAATAAACCCAAACACAAATGGTCTCATCATATCATGCATAGATTATCATTTTGAAATAAAAAAAAAAAAAAAACCCAAAGACAAAAATAAAATTCATTATACACATTCATTCATCTTTCCAATTGAATGTGAACTTTTCATTTCTATATACTCTGTAGCAATATCCAAGCAACGCCTTCATATGGAGTATATATCTCACATATATTACGATATTCATATATTATGCGTTTCATATCATAATTTCCTTGACAGAGGATTGCGTTATAAAATATCTGTGTCCCAAGTTGCCAATATTGATGTAACAACAATGCCGTTCTCTTTTCTCGGTTGTGAGATCACCGGATGAAACTTATCACTGAATTTGCTTATCACTGAATTATGCTGACCATGAGCAACATGACAGTGTCACTAAAGGAACAGGATCTGATTAGCCTTTCAGAGAACCTGAAGTCACCCCGAAATGTTAGTGGGGTTCTTGTTGCTCAGTCTTTAGTTTTTCCTGCTTTATTTTGTAGATATGTCTTTTCTTCATCTATTTGTTTTTATGCCATTGCGTTGCCAGTTTCTCTTCGACTTAGTCCATTTGGCATCTTTCGCGTTTTTCTATACTACATTAAGTGCAAATAATTTAATTTTGGATGTAACACGTCTTCTAATTGGCTGAACGATTTTTTCTATCAGCTCATAAACATAATTTTGTCATGTGACCGTCACGTCATCAACGTTTTTTCATGATATACTCCTAAAAAATGGAATTTAGAATTAAATTATGTTAAAGGAATGACTGTAATAATTTTTCTGTCTATTCGAGATAACCTCAAAATTGTAGTGCACACTTTTAAATATCCTACTACGCGGGTTATTCAGTGTGCACCATATTTTTGATGTTATTTCTTCATAGACAGAGAAAAAATATTAGTCATTCCTTAGATAAATTCGAAGGTAGCACATTAACGTGTAATAATGAACACAACGTAAAACTAAGTAGTGCTTATACTTGAAAATGTTGTAAAGTTTCTCAAAAAGATAAGGAGACAAGGCAAATTTTGTTGTAATTCAAAATTGAGAGATGTTGGGAATATATTTCATTATATGTATATTATATATTATACCCTCTGAATATTAGATACATTGAACAAAATGAAAGTAAAAAAAATTAAACAATGTCTGTAGGACGTTCCACCATAACGACGTGATTATCTAGATAAAACAAAGTTTCACTTAAAACTTTTTATAGCTGATGCTACATTTAGACGATTATTTATGTCCAATCTTATAATAATGTTAATTAGTTTGACTATTTATTTCTAAAATGTTTCCTGATATTTAATATATATATATAATGTATTTCAATTTTAAATGGTTAATTCCACAGGATCCTCAAAACAAAATTGTTTACCATTTTACGTCGGTGACAAACAAGTAGGAATAGTACGTCGGGACATTCTCGGTCATCTACAGAAATACAAAGATGTGTTCATCGCCTCCTCTTCCAAACTGAAACTGTCTGATGACCTGAGAACATTTAAAGAAAGAAGTGATAAAGTTCACGAAGTACTGAAAGATTTAAGAGAACAAAACGTATTAGACACACTAAATGGATGGAGAAATGAAGTAAGAAATATGTATAACAATTAAGATGTTGAAAGCTAATGTAAGAGATGTACTGTAAAAAAAAGCATGATACATACACATTTTTTTCCAATGTTAAAATAAATGTACGTGAACGTAAATTATGTAAAGCCTATTATAATTATGAATAAATCAACAAACAAGAGCAATTGTTGTAAAAATGTTAATGATTTTGTGTCCACTAGTGCATTGTGTATCATATTGATTTGTCTTTTAACGAAAAAATGAAGAAATATATATTGCAAATCATGTCTGTACCGTAGCAATGGATACTGAGCTAACAGTAAAAAACGAATAAATCAGAACTGATGTTCCTAGACCCCAAATGATAATCGTTTTCTTTTCTTTAAAACTGAGCGTATTTCTTTTTAAGAGGAATGCATTCTTTAATTGGGATTCACTATCATTGGTCCTATGTTGTCTCGAGTTGAGAAATATTGTTCACAATCGATTCACAAATAATGAAGAAAAAATAGGCATTAGAGATATGTTTCTTTTTAAGAAATATAATAATTATTTTTGTGGTAATATAAACTTGAAACGTGTATCATTAAAAGTTTTGTTTCTACTGTGAATACCCTGTATCAATGCGGAAGAT